TTGACATCAAACACAAACTGTCTCACAATCATCAACCCATGCAATATCGCTGGAAAGTTGTCAGCAAATTGCATATTCTCTTCTCAACCTAGTCAGACATCACAGAGTGCTGTGGCTGCAAGCAACACTGTGACAAGCTCCGGCCCCATGATCTTGGCTGCCAATGAAACTGTGCATCCAAGATGCGACAGTTTGTCGCGCAAAAGCTCAATGCGGTCGTTTTGGAAGACCCTTGAGGATCTCTGGGGCTCGTGCAATTGCAGCCATCAATTCATTGCGTTTGCTTGCACCGATCGTTTGCTTCAATCGTTTGACCCAGGCTGTCATGTTCTGCTTGGTGTGACCCAAGCTTTGATTCAACAGGGCACGGTCACCGAGTCTCTCTGGGTTCAATGCACGATCAACAAGATCTTATGGTGCCTCCTGCTTCTCTAGCAGCTTACGGCGTTTGGCTGGCTGTTGGCCATCAGCAGTCTTGCTGTTTCGGGCCTTCTCTGCTTCAAGCGTTGCACGAAGAGGCTCAATCTCTTGCTGAGCAGGTGCAGACGATGACGATGCGTTCGAAGCAAAAAGGTCTAGCCGTTCAGCCATAAACTTTGCAAGGGCTTGAGCCTGATGAACCTTGACTCAACAGTACAACCTCGTTAACTTTCCTGCAAACGATCAGACTCATGTAGCTTCCGTGGGAGAGGGCTCGAAGGTGTTGGTTTTCCCATCCTCGCCAAACAAGGTCGACAAGCTTAACCTGTTCCCACTTTGTCCAGTCAACCCGTATTTAGAACTCCAGGATGTCGGCGCAATCTTGCGTGACAGAGTTTTGCCGTAGATCTCTCGACTGCTCCGGTGGCTTTTGCTCGCAACGAACGATGATGGAAGGCCGTGGGTAGTTTGAATCCTGTGGGGCTGTTCCAATCCTGGTGCTTGGCATCGTCAGTGCTTTTGGCTTGTCAAGAAAGTACGTACGCACATGATTGTTCGTAAGCGCGGCATACAGGATGTTGAATTGCCACTCGGAGAGACTGGAAAGAATATCCGATAGTTCATCAGGTAGTTCGGCTCCGCGTCGTGCATGATCATTGCTGCTACCGGACATGTCGATAGAAACGGCGCCCGACAGCTTGAAACCGACCTACAAAGTCAAGTTCAAGCAAGCAACAACACGTTCATGTTACTACCATCGGCGCAACTAAGCACAGCAAGCCGGTTCTTGCTTTGCATTCAACACGAATTACTGCTGACGGTCGATGGTGCTGTTATCCAAAAGGACCTGAGGCGCGGGATCAACAGACAGCATTTCAGACCATTTCGCGCCCCAATGTTCATCACCAGGTTCTCGAACAGGAGACAACAAGTAAAACCTGGATACTCGAGCACTGGATTCACGATGGCCCAGCGCTTGTCTTTGCTGGGAGGCTTGGTCAGTTCGTGGTCTCGAAGAGCAGACAGAGATTTACGGTAGCATGTGTTCATGACTCCGGAAACGAGGACCCTGCATGGGTTCTTGGCATGAAAAGCCAGCTTTGAAGTCACACCTGCTGCCACTCCATCGTCTTGGCCTTCAAAGGCTGCACTGCCGAAGAACCCGAAAGGAGTCTCAGTATGCTTCATCCCCACAGTCTCATTGCAGGTACGGAAAACTCTGCCTCTTGAAGATACCCAGTAAAGAGGCCTCACTGCATCCATGCCACCAGCGAAATGTTGTTTGGCCTGTTGCTAGCGCTGGTAGTGAGGGACCCGGAAACTTGTCAGTGTCGATCTGCCACATGATAACATTGTTGTGAAGGCAAGTTTTGTCAGGCTTGATGAAGATTTTCTCATACGGAAGCTTCACTGTTACGATGGCTTGACAGAAACTCGCGAGCACAGACGGCTGAATATCAGAGGAGAATACATCAGTAGGCGGGGGGCGTTGCACAAGCTGCAAAACACACCGAACACATCGAGTAAACTCATCACAAAGAATATTCATCCAAGCTTTGCATCTGAAAATCAGGAAGTGCCCAAAAGTCTGCAAACTCGTTGTTTGCAGCATCCTGTCGAATGGCAAGCTTTCTTCTGTAAGCCGAGCTTGGCGAATTGCCAATGCAGCTGCTACTCCCTGAGGATCACAAGCTGAAATCGGACCTGCATTCGACATTGCCAAAGTCTGTGCAAGACTTGTTGTCGTCATCACTCCAGTGGGATTCCCAGGCGCAGGTGGTTGTGATGGTACAAAGTTGGCAGCTGTGGTGGCAGGTGGAGGTGGTGGTGCAGGGTGCAATGATGTTGGTGTCGCAGAAGCACCATGTGGTGATGGAAGAGGTGGAGGTGGAAGTGGTGGTGGTGTAAGTGATGGCTTTGGTGGCACACTAGGACGTGCTGGTCTTGTGACAGCTGTATTCACTGGTGTCACAGTCTTTGGAGGTGGTGGAAAAGGTGCAGGTGGAGGTGGAGCAGGTGCAGACGTTGGTGGAAGGGGCGTAGTATTTTTCGAGCCAGGTGCTGGTGGAGTGGGAGTGTTGTCAATGGTAGTGGTGTGAAAGGGTGAAGTTTGTGTCGGGATGAGCTGTGGTCTGGGGTGAAAAGGCGGGCAAGCTGCAGGAACAACTAGCGATGCTGGAGCTGCTGTTTGGGCTTGCTTCAAGCTTCGGAACTGGCACAGCTGGATACAAAGGATGTACGGGATAAACATGAGAAAAGGACCAAAAGCAAGTAGTCCTTCAGCTTCGAGATACAGCTCTTCTTGAAGAATGTGATCTCCTGCGAATACGTCTTCTGCTTCGACCGCGAGACGAAGTGTTGGATCTGCGGCGAAGCGCGCGACGGCTTTCTGAAGGTACATCATGTTCTTTTGCTGGTTGTGCAACCTGTGGGGCCTGACTAGGTCGAACAGAACGATGTACCAAATTGACTGTATAACGAGAGGCTGAATACTGCAAAAGACCTGGTTCTTGAAAAGGTATTGCATGCTGCAAAAGACCTGGCTCTTGAAAGGTACTGCGCGCTGCAAGAGACCTGGTTCTTGAAAAGGTGCTGCACGATGAACAAGACATGGTTCTTGAACAGATACTGCATGCTGCAACAAACCTGGCTCTTGGGAGGGCACCGACATCGTGCGTAAGGTGAAACTGTCAGCTTCCTCTCGTTTTTCCCGCGTTTGAGAAGGCGAAAGTCTGAGATCTTCGCGTTGTGCTGGAAATGAAAATGGTAATATGCCATGGCTCAGGACACGAAACGGAAGTTGTGGTACAAGAATGTGAAATCTTTGAATGGATGATGGAGCTACTCCTGAGCTCCTGAACCTGGGGTCTTCCAAGGAGCTATCCTGCCAGGGAATCTGAAGCCAAATGAGCGCTTCAGTGATACATCAGCAACTGGAGCCTTTCCATGACGGACTCCGAGATCTCAAGGCTCATATGCTTGGAATTTGGCCAGGGTGAAAGGTGAACCAGTGGTAAATTTGAAATTCTGGCCTTTTCATGGGGATCTCCGAGGTCTCCAGGCTCATAAGTTAGGAAGGACCAGATGTAGTCATGGGGCTCCTGATGTTCCTAGAACCCCCCGCAGACCGGGAGTCCGACAGCGCTTTGGCAGAATTAATGTCGGGAAAAACACACTTGCAGACCAGTCATCCTTACTTAGATGGATGCTGTTGGTTCCAGCTGATTACATTATCTCTCTTTGATCGTATCTTTTCTTTATTCTAGAAATGGTTGCTCCAGTGCCACAGGGGGACCACTGGCTAATCCGAAAGCAGGTACGTGTGGCTGATCAGGCCAGATATCACCATGCACTGACAGTGTCTTGGTTGGGCGGTGACTGTCAGGCATGCACTGCCCCCCTGCAAGAATGGAGGAAGACAGCTTCCCCTACATCCTTAGAAACAAGAGTGTCACACACACACACACATTTGCGCGTCCATCTCCATCTGCCAGCCCACATACCCAACGGGTTTATTGTTTTGCGTATTGACCATTGCTACCGTTTTTGGCACGATCACTGCTATTGTTACAGCGAGTGCAAGTATCACTTTTCGTGCTGCGATTGCCCTTTCTGCAGAAAGGACCCTTTTCACACGAAATCCCTGCAGTGCGACTTGGTCAGCTCGGCGGGTTGGAAAAAGTTGCTGCCCTGTTTCGAAGTGTTTTAACAGCAATATATTATAACCATGTCAACTGAATCATACCTATCATTCGTAGCACAGTATTATTACAGCACATGCAACTGTTGCAAGAATTATATTCGTTCCATGATAATTATTGGAATTTGTAAACTAGTCGCATAATTACGAAGTACATCTGCCGCAAGCAAAAACGTGCAAATTGCGGCCATAAAATGGAAAACAATGCTATTCGAAAACTACCACGAACCATCAAATTCCATCAAAACCAATGGAACTCCATCAGAATCCTATCAAGGTGTTATTAATAAATTATTAAGATCTGATTGAATCGGTCAGGTTCCTTAGAGATTTTCGGGTTTGAAAAGGCTTGGGGAAGCCCGCAAACAAAAAAATAGACATACACAATACACAAAAAGAAATCCTTGCAGAAAGCGATGAAGTGCGGTACCACCGGGGAATGTTCCGAAACCCACGCGATAAGCAAACCAAACCAAAAACAACTATGCAATGAAACTTGAACAAGTATCAAGCAAACTTTTCGCTCCACAGAAACTTGTTTATTTTACGCCATGGTCCACTGTTTCCTGTGTGTTCACACGTTGTCCTATTCTTGAGTTTGCCTCGTTTGTTAGACGATGTGTTGTTTGAGATCCCGGACTTCGCAACACCCAAACAGAAGCAGCAGGAGCAGTGTTCTTGTAGCGGAGGCTGAGAAACGCTGAGCTGAATGATTGCAACATTCAAGTGAAGACCAACCACTGTGGCATATCGTCCATTCATTCTGGTGTCACTTTCATTCTGCACCCTGCAGTTTCTTATGCTGCTGCGCCACGAATCTCATGACCTTGTCAGCATGTCTGTATTGAGCATCACGTCGGAACATCGTAGTTGCCGACAGGCGCTGGCCCGAAGGCAGCAGGGTGAGGACGGGAGTGGGACCTACAACTAGGTCCTGAGTGCAGAGCCTGTTTGAAACACGCTGCGTGCCAAAGGTCTTGTGCATCCCGTGTTTCGCCATCGCAGCCTAGACTCGAAGTGCCCGCCAAAAAAAGGGGCGAGGAGAGACAAATAAAGGGAAGGAGAACATTACATCTACTAGAAAAAGAAACGGGAACCCAACATAATCGAACATACTTAGAGTTTCACCTCGCGGCGCAGACGGATGCACCACAAGAGAGGCGGATGCGCAACGATTCGGGGATTGCTCCTGACATTTAACGTGGTCCTCACCTACCTGGTCTCGTGAGACGGCACTCGTTCACAGCGCAGAATTTGGTTTAGAGAGAGAAAGTGAGACTGGTGAAATAGCCTTGGCGAAACAAAGACCAGCGATGAAGCATGTCAATCAACCTAGCTAAGCAAGCTGTTTGCGCATTTTTGGCCGGGACCCTCGAGCTGCTCGAATGTCAGTCTTGAGCATACTTGATGATTGCTGCACCATGCTGTCTGAACCTTCCAGAGCAGACGAGCCCCTTCTGTCCACAGACCACAGTGGCAATATCAGTAGCCCCTTACGGGTGGAGGCGCGAGGCGGGGGTTTGATAAAGTTGACGGTGTTCAGGGGGTCACGAAAAGTTCCTAACTGAGCCTCATCCCGACATGTCAGTATCACACCGAACTTCATCACCAGTGCTCATCCGTGCGCGGGGGCAGTGCTGGAGTGGTGTTCTTTGGCTGTGTGGAACAAGAGAGAGAGAGAGATGGAGAGAGATGGAGCAAACCCTTTGTCCCTAGCCCTGACGAAAGAAAGAGAGAGAGACAGAGACAGGGACAGACAGACAGACACACTCAGGTGATGTAAGACTGGGGCACCAAACAGTGAGGTTGTGATGTTGATGTCGGTGTACTTTTAGAAGTGTTTGCTTTGTTTGCCCCCACGGAGGCACACGCCCCATACACAACGGCTTCACAGCCGCACACCAGTACAGCCGAGCCCATCCGGTGAAAATCCTGGATGGGGTAGCGCGAGCGCGCGGGGCTAGGAGGCCTGCCCCTAGCTTTAACCCCAAGCAAAGCAAAGCAAAGCAAAGCAAACAGACAGACAGAGAGTAGCCATTTTGGCTCAACTGGAGAGCCGCAACGGGCCTGGATCGCACAGTCGGAAACCCGGAGCGACGCCGCAGAGCAAGGCTAGCGGGGAAAGTCAAGAGGTTGTGGCTCGGACAGGGGGCGGGCCGTGCACCGACTTGTAGTTGAGTTCGGCACGGGAAGCACCTAGATCAACAACGAGAAAACAAGTTCGGCAACCGCAGCCGATGGGGGGGACGATGCTGGAGCTGGGCGGATTGACATCCCAGCCATTGCGCGCCATCTCGGTGTGCCTCACACAGCATTTGCCTACCGCTCCAACAGCGCGACGTCCCTTCCTATTTCCCACACAACACGTCGCTGGCACCTAGAAGATTGGATTACATCGCCGCGCGAAACATAAGCAACACAAGGGGAGAAGTGGTGGCTTGTAAAGACAGAGCAGCGTCGGACCATGACGCGATCAGTCTCGTTCCAATTGCGGGGACTACAGCCCGCGCCATGCTGCAATGCCGGCAAAACCCACAATGGTCGCGCATAATCTTGCACGAGCTCAACGATGTGTTATACAAGGGAGCCATTCACAACCGGGGTGGGGAAAGGACTCACTGTCCCACAGCCACCTTTGCAGCTTGCGAACAATCCAGCAAAGGGGGTTGCCGCAGGCAAGCAGCGGGGGGAGCACATCAAGTCCAAGCAAGGGACCATGAAAGTTGGAACATGACCGTGCGCCGGTCTCAGCAGAACTTGAAGAACGTCGCCAGGAAGGTTTTCGAGCAGCCACAAAAACAGTGGCGGCATTTATGGCCAGCCGTGCCGAGCCACAGTCACTGGACCGCCCCAAGAACAAGAGGGGATCACCAGTGGGAAGCCAACCAGAGAGACCACCACTTCGACGTCGCCGGCCTCTGCGAAGTAGATGAGGACCCAACATGGGTGGGCTACAGAGCTTTTACCAGCAGTGATGGCAATGAGAAAACGGGGACAATCCTCCGAGAGCTTAATACAGAGGTGGTTCAGGAAAGCAGGTAGGTCAGGCAGTGAGTGCGCTTTGAGGCCTCGAGTCAGTTCGGTCGGGGATCAGGCGGGGTGTGGTCCTTAGTTTGCTTGCAGATTGGGGGGACTTTTTTCAAGTTGTGTCGACAAGTGCGTCGGCTAAGCTGTTAGGTTTTCAATGATGCCGTACGTGGTCTGCCGGGGAATGTCACCTCGTACCGTTTTGTATTACACAATTCCTTATTGTACAATGCATCCTCTAGTGGGGGGGATGAAAAACTCATGACGGGGGATTCCTTCCATGTTGAGGCTGCAACTTACCGGTTTGTTGTTTTACTCCTGGTTGCCAGATGATCACGGGGGACCCCAGTCATTTTCACGCAGACCCGACAAGGCAGCAACGACCTAGCATCCTCGATGGACCAAGAACACGGCTGCGCGCGTGCCACGTGGGGGGTTTGCCTACGGGTAGGCTCCTCTAAGGCAAGCAAGCAAGCAAGCAAGCAAGCAAGCAAGCAAGCAAGCAAAAGAGAGGGTTGGCGAAAGAAAAAGGGAGGGAGATGGAGGCACCTCATGGAGAGCATAAACTTGCCTCTACGGGGGCACATCTCACCTCTCACCAAGGCCTAACCAAAGGCCAGACGTACAGCCGAGCCCTTTCTGTCCAAAAGGTGTATGGGGATGCGCCCCGGTGCGGGTCAGAGAGATTGCCTCTGACTCTAACTCCTAGCAAAGCAGAGAGGGGGAGAGGAGGCAACTCCCCACCACGACCCTGGCGAAAGAAAAAGATAGAGAGAGAGAGGGGGACGGAAGAACCCGGGGAATAGGAGAGCCAAGAGGACACTGCTGCCGCCCTGCGGGCGGCCCAAAAAGCTGAGCCCAGGCTGGCCGAGGCTCACATAGATTTGCTGGCCTTGTGACAGTCAGGAATACTACTACCGCTATCTATACTACTATACTACTATACTACTATACTACTATACTACTACACTATTATACGACTACTACTGCTACTACTACCACCACCACTACCATTACCCCCTACCCCTACAACTACCGCTGCGACGAAAACTACTACATCTGCTGCTGCTACTGTTACTGCAACTGCTACTGCTACTACTACTACTACTACTACTATTACTACTACTACTACTACTACTACTACTACTACTACTACTACTAGTACTACTACTACGACTACTACTGCTGCTTCTGCTACTGCTACTGCAACTGCTACTACTAGTACTGCTACTACTACTACTACTACTACTACTACTACTACTACTACTACTATACTACTACACTAGTGCCACTACTGCTACTACTACTACTGCTGCTGCTGCTACTGCTACTGCTACCTCTACTTCTGCTACTTCTATATCTATTTTTACTGTTCTGATACCTCTATTTCTATTTTTTACTTCTACTTGTGCTACTACTACTACTACTACTACTACTACTACTGCTACTGCTACTGCTACTACTACTACTACTACTACTACTACTACGCCTACTTCTACTTCTACTTCTGCTACTACTACTACTGCTGCTGCTGCTGCGGCTACTACTGCTACCACTTCTACTTGTACTTCTACTACTTCTGCTTCTGTTTTAATTCTACTTCTGCTGCTGCTGCTGCTACTACTACTACTACTACTACTACTAGTGCTACTGCTGCTACAGGGATGACTGCCATGGTATCAGCCGTGGTCGTCGGGGGTACTGATCTCGTCGGCGCAGCAGCATGATTTGTTGTACTTCGATTGCAGCAGAGAGTTAGCACAGCCCTGCAGTTTGAGTTGCGCAGCTGGGGAGGTGATGTACGAAATGCTGCCTGCCCTGCCAAGCAGGCCCGGTGTCCCAGGGTTTGCCGCAAGCATGGCTGTAAGAAACCGGTACGGTACGGTACGGTACTGTGGTTTCCGGCATGACTTGTGATGATAGATGTAGAAAATATAATGGAATATGACATAGTATAATGTAACATAATGAAGTACAGTACAGTTTAAGCTCATAGTATATCATGTAATATGATATAATATAATGTAATGCCGTATCAGATAACATAATGTATAGCATACATACATACATACAGATTGAAGATACATGTACGCACATACAGACGTACAGACAGACAGACCGACAGACTCACGGACTGACACAGTCACGCACGCCTCTCGAATTTCTCACATTTTCGGGCTTTGGCCCCTTCAGACTGCAGCCCTATGGCGCGCTCAACTGGCAGGCGAAACGGGGAAGATGGGGATCGATCCCGCAAGGCAGCTCTTCAAGGGGGCTCGGAAAGCGCTGGCGGGTCCCAAGAGGCAGAGGTGTCCGGAAGCAGTCCGGAGAGGCAGAGGAGGAACAAGGTCCATCAAACAGCCCTTCAAACAAGGACAGTTTTTCCCCCACCAACATCGCGCCAGCATTCCTCAAATGTAAAGGGGTTGGAGCGCCTGACATCAGAACAGATGCAAGCAGGTCTAAGCTAATCAGACCCGCCGACGAAGACAGGCTCCTGAGGAGCAGTGCGGGATAACTTGCCGGGTCGAGTACAATGTCTTCCAAGCCTCCAAGCCGTGCATACGCACATCCAGGTCGTCAGTTCAAGCAGTGGACAGGAATGACAGCGAGATCCGAACCTTGCACCGTAGGGCCGCAGGGGTCTGCCGCAAGCGGCACTAGCATTGGCATTGCCGGCCCTGTAAGAGTTTGCAACCCGAGGACGCACGGCCGTAAGCCGTAAGCCTAAGCGAGAAAGACCAAGCACGCAGGCTGCAGGACAAAAAGAAAAGTTGGCAATGTGCGCAGCACTGTTTGCGATCCCGGACATCACAGGCCCCAGAATGCCCCAGAGGTCGCGACCGGCGCGAGGAGACCACAATGAAACTCTTCCGCATCAAGGCAGGACTCGACGTGATTGGCCAACGGATACCGCAGAGAAGGTGGCAGAGTCAGCAAGGTGTGGGAGGTTCATGGAGGCCCTGTGTAGGGACGAAGCGTGTGGAACACGCCAGCTGCTCAGCAGAAGGCAAGGACCCAAAAGGCCTGCAGAGCTTGGGTTGGGCCAGCACTTGCCACCGAACGCACAAGATTCAAAAAAGGATGGCTTTGTCCTTCCCCCTGAACAATAGACGAGACAAAGATCTTCTGCTATCAAAGGCAGCCCAAGCTGTCGCAATACCTTGTTTTAGTTCCTGCGCTGGGGCGCTAGAGAAGTGAGCCGTCCTCCAGGTGTTAGTAAAGGACGATGAGAGTGGGAATGAGGGCACCACCAAGGCAGCCGTCAAGCAACTCACCAGCAGCACGTGCACAACCGACGCCGAGCCATCCATGTGTCAGGATGAGAAGCTTTTCTGCGGGGTCGTGTCGCACAGACAGGGGCTTGCTCATCATATCTTTGTGCCAACTGCTTGTTAAGCCACACCCACTTCCCGGATTAGAGTGGAACACTTTCGTAGATGCCTCTGTCTTCCATCATCATGCCTCCATGGGAGAGCTCCCGCTCGATCCGGGCGTGGAGGGCACCGCGACTTTGACCCACATGGCCGCAAAATTCAGTCTGGCTCCTGTGGTCCCTCGACACGTGGGCCCGACCAGCTCCGACACGAGAACGCGCACTCTCAGAGGGGCACAAATGGAATTTGCCACGTACAGACATACATGCATCTCTTAGTCATCTACTCGTATCCAGTTTCCAAAGGCAGCCAGTTCGATCTTGCCAATAGCCTAGCTGTGATGCAAACGCTCAAGGCTGCATGCAGTCGCACCTTTAGCGTTTATCTGTCTCGGTCGCAGGACAACGTACGACACATGAGCAACTCCACATGGCCCATACCTTCTAGGGATCCCCCATCTGTCGCAGAGGTTTGAACATGTTTGGCTATCGGTTGAGCACCGTCTGCAGACATAGGCCCGGCGACGTTTCGATCTTCATGGAAGATCCTGAAGTCATGTCTTGACCGACTCGGAACTCAACAGATGGAACCTGTGCCAAGGTTTATGCAGCACGTGGAAGCCCTTCTGATGCAGCTTAAGGCTCTTCCGTCAGAAGCTGGCTATCCCAGGCCGGGAAGTACCTGCAGCTCACAGAGAAATTTGATTTGACGAAGAATCCCGCCAGGACCCTCGACGAGTATGCTAAGGGCCGACCCGTGGAGGCATGGAGGGCAAAGTCGAAGTCTTGGCGAAGCTCTTTTTTTCCGGTTGCAAAAGTTGGCTGGTGACTGGTAGCATCGTAGTCTCGCATGGGAGGGCGAATCAAGTCAGTGACACTGCGGAGGTTTACAGCAAGAGTGGAGGCCGCTGGTTCCCAGGCGAAATTGTGCAGGTGGCCTGCAGCTTTCCCTGTTGAGGGAAAAGGGTCGCTTTTACCTTAGTTGCTGGTGACGCTTGTGTACTGTTTCTTTCTTCGACAAGACTGAGCCAGGGCTCCTTGAAGTCAATGTATCAATTGCGCATGCCGAGATGCAAGAGAGCATATTTACATTTTGGTTTCTAAGCGCCTAAGCCCCAGACTCCCCTAATCCCTGCGCTTCCCTGAAGAAGGGGCATTGCATCACCGTGACAACGATACCTTCTAGCCCTACCCCGCATCTGGAATGCCGGTACAGAGGGGTGCCAGTGGGTAGCGTGACTTCAACAATGACTCCAAAAAAATCAAAACCTCCCCTAGCCGCCCAAAACCTGACTTCCTGAAATCCCGAAAGCCAAAAGCCCACCCTGAAAGCCCTACACTCCCTTCGGACCTGGTGCCAAAAACCGCGCCAAATCACAGGTGTTTGTTCACACAAGCTGCAAAAAGGATGCAATTGACATCCAGACCAGACGAACATGAACTTACTGACCCGCATGTACAGTGGGTTGACTGGACAGGGTCGAGAAGTGATGCGGAAGCCAGTACAAAGAAGTCATGAAGTCCCTACTCACTGATTACGGACGGCTTCCCCAGCATTGAAGGACTTTTATTGCGATGGTTCTGGGTATCGGCTGCTCTTCCTCCATCCTGTCCAGGCCAAGGACGAGATGGTAAAGGTTAGATACCTCGCAACTCGGCAGTGCGTTCCGTTTCTGCTGTGGTACGCTACCACTCGGCCATGAAAGCGTGTGAAGTCCACAGGCTCCAGGTCAGTAGCCTTTGACGAAGTTAGGTCTGTTGTACTCTGGGGCACGACCCAAGAGGGTGCCAACATTGCCTGTCATCGGGGATAAATTGAATTGCCCGGCGTCGTGGCCACATGGTTCGCAAGGTCGAGTCAAAAGATCCAAACGCGGAGCGGCAGTGAGCCCCCAAGCTGCGCTGCGGCTCTCTGATCAACCACACAAGAGAGAGAGAGAGAAAGAGAGAGAGAGAGAGAGAGAGAGAGAGAGGGAGGGACACCCGCCAATGAACCGCGGGGGTGCGCGCGCGCGCACGGCGGGCCAGCCTGGACGCTGCTGCTCCGTCACGCCCCGTAGAGAGAGAGAGAGAGAGAGAAAAAAAAACCACAACCCTGTCGAAAGAGAGAGAGAGTGTGTTTGAAGGGGGCTTGTCCTCGTGATCCCCTAGCCCTGGCGAAAGAAAGAGAGAGTGTTTAACCATATCTTTTACCGGCGAGCTAGGAGTCGTTCTCCCCCACAAGGCCCGACAACCGCTCCCTTGACCCCGGAGAACAGAACAGAACAGAGAATGTGGGACCAGAACAATTGAATCTCGCTCCGTTCTCTCCAACCACGAACACCCCATCGGCACATACTCGGAAGGGGAAGTAATTTGGCATGTTTGTTCTGGTCAACTTGTCGGGCTGGTTCTGGCTGACTGGTCTGCGTTATCCCGTCTTGGAACAAATCCTGGTCTTTCACACTCCTTCAAAGCCCCATCACAGGGCCCTGGTGGCCGGGTGGTTTCAACCGCCCCTCATGCCCTGGAGAAGAAGAAGAAAGGGAGAGCGAGACAGACAGAAAGGGGGGGCCGCCGTCCCTTCGGCTGAGTTGAAGAACAGACAGAAAGAATAACCGCTGTAGTCGGTGCGTGTTCGAGTACCCGCCAGGCAATTAATGCCGCACAATCCACACAAGTCGGGTGTGTGCCATTTCGGGGGGGGGCCTCGCCTTCCTATGTCTGGATTGGAGTTGCGAATGTAACCCAAGAGCAATAACCACAACGGAAAGCAGGAAGAAATACAAATGCATCGTCAAGAACTTGCACTGCCGACCCGAGCTTTCCAGCTTGCTTTGGCTCGCGCAAACAAGGTGGTGCGAGAAGCTGCTGCTTTGCAGCTCTGACTCCTTGCGGCCTGCGCCCGAACCCGAGACAGAACGGGAGTCGGGCGGGAGCGAGTGGATCCGATTCTCAAACTCCCATGCCAGCGCAGGCCGCCGAAGGGAGAAGCACCGGCGATGAAGGCAGCTGAATTTTCGCGGTTAGGGAAAAGTTGGCCCTTTTGTTTCGATTCCGCTGTGCCGGTTAAAGAGCTCCTGTGCAGAAGCAGCTTCCAGTAGGGGAGCTGTTGGTTGTTTGGGCATGCTTTGTTTGACGTTGTCCTGTCTGGTGGCCGAACGCTGTCGGTTTCGGTGCACAGGTGCTAGAGCCTGCGCCGTCTGCAGCGCCTGCCCCGAAGGCGTGGAGATAGCTGTTTGAGCCTTTAGTGAAGCTAAGGCGGAGGCTAGTGCTGGACTGCAGGGCAGTCACGGCTTGGTTGACAAAATGCAGCTAGCACTAGTGAGACCACTCGTGAAGCCGTGAAGCCAAGGGCATCGACGTGGAAGCTGCCATACATAGGCAGGTCGGGAAATCGAGTCTTTCTCCGTGTCGGCACAGCATGCACAGTAGTCCAAGCTCGTGCAAGGGCAGCTGCTTGCGGCGAGATCGACGGCCTTCAGCATCCTTTAGCACAGAACCCCTTGTCGCAATGCTTTGGGAGCCTGCCCAAAATGGTTCCCTTAAGGCCCAGGGTTCGATTGAAGGTGTTCGGAAGGTTGGATACTAGCCCAAACCAACGCAAGTAAAAAGAAGCTTGGCGCAGCCGAGAGCCCCTTCGTTGTATTGCAAGGGGAGATTGGTCATAACTTGGCGAACTTGCGCTGCTGCCTTGCAGGCAGACAGTGCAATCGGTGCAGCGCGCGCCAACACCAGCACTTGGAAGCAAGAAAGAGGCCCGCTTCCTCGCAGTCTCTACAGTCTCACAGAACTGCTTGTCATTCGCGATTTGCTGCTCTGATGATTGCCGATAGATGTGACCGACTTCTTCGGCTTGTAAGATGTCGGGTGATTTGCTGAATCCATGGCCTGAGGTTGAAGAAGAACCTCGTAAAGTTATGTTGAACCCAGACGACCTCCAGGTCGGAAAGGCGTGCCGCAAACAAATTTCATGGCCAGTCTGGAAACTTCACGGATGAGGGAGACACGCGCTCAAATAGGATAGCGGCTAATCGCTCCATTGCCAGAAACAGTCGCGAGGGGTTGCCTGCTTGCATGCACATGGAGTCGAACCGTGGCGATTCAATCTCAATCTTGCGTTGGTTGAAGCTTTTTTATCCATTGTACATGTGGGAAGCTTTTCGAAGATTTCAGTTCTGAACCTTTGAGAGGCTTTGAACTTGGCTTCGGCGAAAGAGCGAGAGTTCAGCACCCGACAGAAGCGGCACCGTGGGCTCGTGCAGGTGCTGGGCTCTGGCGGCTTTGGGGCCGTCTACCGGGGCACCTACCTTGGCCAGGAGGCGGACGGTGCAAGGTCTCTGCTCAGCAGCTGACGTGCAAAGCTGATGCGCTTGCTTTGTGCTGACCCTTCATGAGCCGGGGAGTTATCCGTCGATCTACCACGGCGGATGCCTTGCTTTGAGAGTATTGGGGCTCACCTTGTCTTCAAGAGCCAAGGACCATGCTGCTGATGCAGCAAGGTTTCAAGAGTGAAGAGATCGATCATCCAGCTGATCAGGATTCGTGATGACCACTTCTTTTCCAAGAGTCGAAGGATCCTCCGGCTGATGCTGCTGATGCTGTGGCTTTGCCTTCATCTCTTCTTGAAGGGGGGAGATGATCCCCTGCCAGCTGATACTCTTTGGGTTCGTGCCGCGTTTTCCTTCAAAGGCGCAGCCTTTTGCCCCCAAATTCAAGCCACCGCTCTCTAACAGACGAGTACAGGGCCATCATCTAACTGATGGTGCTGTTTGTTGCTCGTGGCTGCATTGTCTTCAAGTCCATCGAGCTTTGTGCTCACCTTTTTCAAGTGCCCAGGGATCATCCAGCCCATGCCTGGGCTTTAGCTTACTTTTCTACGCATGCTGACCTGCTTCGTGTTTGCTTGTTCGATGGCACGGTGTGCTGATGCTTGCGTTGTGCATTCACCTTTCCTTCCAGCGGCGAGAACAAACTCTGCTCTACCTCATCTTCCACTGGAGGATAATATGAGCATATTTTCCTTCATAAGATCGCGAAATTACAGACCTTGATACTTTTTTATCATTGAATCTATCAAGAAAATCATAGTTTAAATAATGCAATCGGATTCAATTCTTTCATATCGATTTTCATATAAGCTAAACAGCTAAACAACCATCCAACTTAGAATTCTCATTTTGGGTTCTATTCTATCGAATGTTCTCTTTGTTTACATGCTGGTGATTTGGCCACCGCTCTTCAAGATGTCGGGAATCATCCGCTGATGCTTCTCATGCTCGTGCCTGGCGCTCCCCTTTTCTCGACAAGCCGAGTGATTATCAAGCAAAAGCTGAGAGATCATGCGGAGGATGCTCGTGCTTTGTGCCCCTCTCTCCAAAAGGCGACGAAGCATGCAAACTGATGCCGCTGATGTTGGCGCTTTGGGCTCACCCGATCTCCGGTTGCTTCGTTTGCTCATCGCCTGCAGAGGGATCATCCAGCTGATGCCGCTGGTGTTGGTCATGAGCAGGGATCATTCAGCTAAAGCGTTAGCCTCAGCAGCATCAGCTGTATAAATCCCTTGGCCTAGAAAGAAAATGAGAACACAAAGCACGAGTACCAGCCTCCCGCCTTGAACAACAGGGTACGAGCATCGGCACCCTGCGATTTTGAGGACAAAGCAAGCACGAACCCAGAGCGTCAGCAGCATCGGCTGGCTGGTGACGATCCCCCGGCCTGGTGAGCGCAATGCCCCAGCATCGGAGGCATCAGGTGGATGATCCCGTCGGATGATCCCTAGGCTCAGTTCACGCACATCAGCATCGTTGGGTGGTCCTTGGTCTTGAAAGACGAGCACACGCACGAGCATCAGCTTATGATCCTTCACCCTCGAACAAAATGGTGAGTACAAAGCAGGAGCATGGCAGCATCGGGTAGATGACCCCCCTTGCTGGTGAAGCAAAGGCGAGCACAAGCGCGAGCGTCAGCTGGATGGGTTCTCTGCTCTTGAAGTACAGGTGAGCGCTGAGCACGGAAGCAGCAGTATGGATGATTCCTCGTCTCTTGAAGAGGTGAGCGTGCCGCACGAGCATTAGCGGCCAGTGGAATGATCGCGTTTCTTTAAACAGCCACAGATTGAAAACAAACAATCACGAAGCAAGAGCGTCGGCAGCATCAGCTGGCTGGGGGTGATCCCTCGGCTTGTGAAGGAAGGCAAGCTCAATGCCCGAGCATCAGCAGCTGCTGGATGATCCCTGGTCGCTTGAAGAAGCGGTAAGCCCACTGCACGGGCATGAGATGGCATCAGCTGGATGAACCCTCTTGAAACAGGTGACTACACCACGAGCAACAGCAGTATCATTCGGATGCTCCGTCTGCTCCTGAAGCATGGAAGAGAGCATTAGGCAAAAGCTAAATGAGGTTTCTCCGCACTTGGTGTAGAGGCGAGTGCTGAGCAAAAAGCACGGCCTTAGCAATATCAGTTGCATAGATGATTCCCCTTCTCTTCAAGCAAAGACGAGGCTGATGCTCGTGTTCTTCAACCTTTTTCGTTTTGGTGGGCGGATGGATCATTTCTCTGGTGGTGGTGATGCCCGCCCACTCAAAGTTTTGCACGAGTCGAGAGATCTTCCAACTCATGCCTTTGATGGTCGTGCGTTGTGTTCATGTTTTCTCCTAGAGTCCTACAATTGGCGAGGATAAAGCACGATTATCAGCGGAATCAGCTTGCAGGAAATGTGAGAACTAATCGAGCATCACCAGCATCAGCTGGATGCTTCGGCTCTTGAAGTAAAGGTGTGTGCAAACATCGCACGAGTATAATCAGTCGGATGATGACATTGAGAGCATGAAGCACGGATGATGTTTCTACCTTCCAAGAAAAGTTACACGCAAGGTACGAGAATCAGCAGCATCAGCTGGATGATCCCTCTCGGCTCCTGGAGAAAAGGATAGCACGAGCTAGCTCTGCTACTTGTGGCCACCTCTCCTCCAGGGATCATCCGACCAACGATGCTAACGTGTGTGCGTCGTGCCCACCTCTTCTTCAAGGGTGAATGGTTTATCCGGCTGATGCTGTGAATCCTCTACTAGTAGGTGCTCGGCTTTTCTTCTGGAGCCGAGGGCTGATTCTGCGGATGCTTATGCTTTGTGGTCACATGTCAGCTAAAGGCGGACGCATCATGCAGCTCACGATGCTGACACTCAGTTACACGTCCCCCTTTTCGTCCCGGGTTGTTCGGATGATATCCAGCCAAGAATTCTGCTGATGCTCGTTCTTTGTACTCAACCTTTCTGTCACGGTCGCAGAACCCAGCCAACCAGTAATGCCGTGCTCGCGCGTTGTCGTCTTCCCTCCTCTGGCTGATGTACTAGCCAACTAAGGGATCAGGGTGTATCCAGCTGATGCTGCTTTTGCACCTGCCCGGTGGTGCGCAAGTTTTCGATTCTGCTCAGCGTGGTGTTTGCAGCTGGGCTAGATGCCAGCAAATTCATGCAGACACGGTGCATTCCGAGTGCCTGATGTGATGCTGTGTGTGTGCGCGCAGCCTCATTACGGAGCTTCAGCTCATGGTTGCTCGGAGATCCTGCAGCATGGTTTCTTCCTCGTTTTGTTCAACCTGCCACAGGTAGCCATAAAGAAGCTGCACCTGATCGATGGTCAGGTCCCTTGGCCACCAGATATCTGATCTCGGGGATCTTGGGAAGATAAGAGAATCACGATCCAGGCATTGTGTGCCGTGTGACACGACACTGGACGAAGTTTGCAAAGTACTTAGGCTACTTGTCGTCAAACGACGTACCGACAGCCTGAATTGCTGGATAAAGATTGCAACAACGTAGATGGACTGCACAGATAATCTATGTCACTGGAGGGAAAGCGGAAAATTTGGGCGTGGTGACACCAAGTTCGCGGGTGCTCGCTGCCGAACATACAGACAGCATGGAGCCCCCTTTGCGACATCAGTTGAGACATCTACATTTCTGCTCACCTGAGTGTGAAAGTTCAAGTCAGCTGGATGACAGTCCTCTCTCATCTTGGCTAGTTGCTCGGCTGGTTGATGCACTTCTTTCGCCCAAGGCCACTTCGGAGTTTCGACAGTTGTTGCTTTCTTTTCCTTGCCCGCACAGCCACGACCCAACCACGGCTGTTTTCTCAGGTGACTCCTGAGCAGAAGCAGGAATTCAAGAAGGAGGCTCAGGCCTCGGGCCTCCGAACTGGCAACTTGCAGCAGAGAAGAAGGGAAATATAAAAAAATAAAAAATATATACTTATATATATATATATATATATCGACTTCTTGGGAAGCTTGAGACATCGTGCTTTGTTTGATAATCCCTCTGACCTCAACCTCATACTACCATTCCAGCAACGCGGTGCATCAGCACAAACCCGTCACTTTCTCAGAACCCGTGAAGCCTTCAACCGAGCATGTCGTTGGTCAGAGGTGAAGTGTTAAAGCCTGGCCTCAAGCTTCAGGTCGAGAACCTTTCTAGATTGCGACATCCACGCCTCGTTAGCCTCATCGGCGCGGAACCCTTGTCACCTGCTCCTGGAGTTCGGACTCATGCTGGGGAGTTGTCATTATGCGGTGCTGCTGGAGAGTGCAGATGGACCGAAACCGAGAGCGAATCAGAATCTGAGCTGAGCACATGGCGGAGGTGCGGCCCTTGTCGCACCCTCGCTAATGATAGCTTCTCGGCAGCAGGTGAAGGGGCAGAAGAGAATGTGCATGGTTGATACGTGTTGATAAAGTTGATGGGTGGATGTGGAGGGATCAGAAATCGCTGTGTGTTCATAAGGCAGAGAGGTTGTGCCTGTTAGTACCGCGATTCTTTCGAAAGCTGTGATTGCCGACAATGGGGTCGAACAAATCCTGTAAGAACAACAAAGTAGGTAGAATCTTCACACGCGCACACATACACACAGAGACACACACACACACACGCACAGACAGACAGACAGACAGACAGACAGACAGACAGACAGACAGACAGACAGTTAGCAGCACCCACTCAAGGTCACAGAGTTCATGCCCAACGGGCTCGCACCCCAGCTTCCGCCTGCCGTTTATGAACTCCCTTGACTGTGCCAAATCGCATGGTCGATCTTCAATTCCCGAACGTGTTCATTGGTTGGTTTGGGTGGCATGATGTGATGACGTTAATGTGAGGTTGTCTCTTGCCTGGTCAATCGCGCCGCACATGGGGAAAGCATGTTGGCCGTGCTCCGGAATCACGCCAGTAAGTGATGGGAGGAATGGAGGGTTTAGCAGAAGGGAAAAAAGGTGTATCGTCGAGAGGTTGCGTGGGAAGGTGAGTGGGCACGTGGATGAATGGAGGGATGGATGAGATGACGATGTTTCGTGTATCATCGCAGCACTAACCGCTTTTGGAACACTCGTTCTCTGGTTCTTGGGATCCTCAAGCCCCATGCTTGAAATAAACTGGCCTATCTCCCAAGGGATTGTCTATCCTGTGCCGGCCATGGCTAGAACATGCAATGTAGCTGCGGCAGGGCTCAGTTTGCCCCTTGGTTCCCTGAGGTCTTTGTACGAGGCTTTGCATCAGCGGAAGTGCAGCAGCTCAGTCAGCGCATCTCCTCGGGTGCTCAGAAGTCAGAAGAAGACGAGGATGGAAGTGAGATTTGCATGTCTATCGTGCCGCTGGCCCGTGGAATTGGACGCAACTCACGTGTCGCTCGCACGTGCACTCTGTTTGTCTCTTTCCTTGCTCCTGACGGCTGCAAGAAAATTGTTCACGAGATTTCACGAATCAGCATCCGCTCAATGCTTTCAACACCTTGGACCCATAAACAGCAGCTTTTTGAAATAGACTTGGTGCCCAAGGCTAGCACTGGAGCTTGAGAAGCGGTTCAAGATCGCTACGCAGGCGAGTTTCCCAGAATCATAGGCGTAGAAGTTCAAGCTTCCAATCCCGCCCTCTAGACTGAGTTTTGTTCGTGGTTGCACAGCGCACCGTAAACATGCGGCTTTGCACTTGTTAGATGGTTTTTTGCACATGCTTCTGCTACTAAAAGCGGCCTGGGCTATATCTCTACACCGGTGTTTGGTATCCGCTGTTTGCTCTCTGCTCGCTTTGTCCAGCATGTTCACGTAGCAAGCTCGGAACCTCATTGNNCCTTGTGCGAGAGTGTGAGTCGAAAAGCGGCCTGGGTTCGGATATTGACGAGCAATGACGAGCAGCAAGCTTAGGAGCCCAGCAGACACCCCAGGCCACAAAGAGGCCCGAGCAATGGCCTTTAACAGACAGCGCTGATTGGTAAACGAAATGGAAAGCTTGTACGGCTATGTTCTGCTTTTGAGCCTGTCAGTTCATGGGCTTCCAGCTCTAGGGGCAATGCCGAAGCCAACATGTGCACAGCCGCGTCCACGTGGTGGGAAAGTCTTGGCACGGCACAGAAGCCACGGGCCGGTGTGCCGTCTGAAAAAGAATGATCAGCCACTTCATAAGGGCACTACTTAGCCTCGCGAAGCTTCCATGTCCTTTGCTAAGGACTAGCAGCTGTTATTCAGCCTTGATGTCGCTTCGAAACTAGACTGCCTCTGCACGATGTAGGACAAATCAAAGTCAGGTGTTGGAGGGGGCCTTGGGGGGAAGAGTATGGGAATCTATAAAAGTATCTCAGGCAGCAAAAATCTTTCAAAGAGAGTCCCCCAAAGAGACCGCCCAAAACACAGAACAGGCAGTTGATGCTCACAAATGGCTGACCGGTTTCTAGTCGTTTGCTAGACCGCTGCTAGACCTGTGTTTAATTCCGTCGACGTGCCACGAGGTCTCCGAGGGAGCAACTTGGTCGCAGTTTTTGGTCGTCGCATAGGAAGTACGCTGTAGCGTCTGTGGATGTAAGACGGTATCGGCCTGCCCGCTAGTTGCAGCGACTGTCACAACCTGGCGATTTGGCGCTTTCTCGCCTCTGGAAGGTGAGTTTCCTTCACAGCAAGCAGCCGACGCCTTTTGTGCACCGTGACTTGAAGAGCATGAACGTCACTGCCTCAGCACCCTGCGATGACTGGACAAAGTCGGTGCAACTCTTCGTTGGAGCCTGTCGTGAGAGCTGCCTTTTCAGCCACTCAGGTCGTCATGGATTTCGAGCTCAATGCCAAGCTCTGCGATTTCGGACTGACTCAGGCATGGTGACGAAGGGCATTCAGGGGTTTAGAACCGACCCAAGTAAGAGTCAGCAGTTGCGCAGTTACCAGGCGTTGGCTTTGGAGGGAAAGCACATGTGAACCGTAAATCAGTCCATGGAGAAGACCCACATAAGCTGCGGCCTGAGACTGCTCGTCACCTCATCGCTTTGGTTGCAGAGTGCAGAGGTCACGCGAGGCCCCGGCTCGCAGCAGCAGATTAGTTCGACAAACGATTCGGGCACTGGTGGCCACAAGTGTCAGCTTCGGATTTGCACATGGCAGATATGACAGAATAGCCGCGTTCCCGTATGCGCCGGAACGTCTCGGCAGCGAGAGTAGAGGAACCTAAGCCATCGACCTGGCTTAGTATCCATTTACACAAGAGCACACCCCCACCCCGGATATGGATCGGGATCCTTCGCTGGTCTGTTTGAGCCAACCAGCGTGTAAAGCCTCGGTGAGATCAGAGTCCCGAGGTCGGAGGGACAACGAAGGTGGATCTCCACGGCCGGGCCTCGCTACCATGACACTGAAATGATGATTCTACGTTGGTATAGCAATAGTCTTCAGTGATTGCATATGTAGGGGCAAGCTTGCGGAAATCCCATGTCGGCGCCAGATCCTGAATATACGTTGTGGCTCCAACGTAAAGGTTAGGTTGTGCTGAATCGAAAATGGCAGATAAAAAGGGAAGCCCAAACATGCTTGCACAGGGCAGCTGAATTTTACTACGACCTGCGTTGTTGTTTTCGCCGGGCTACATCGAGCAACATTTCAGACCGGATGCAGGCGTTGTCTCATACACTGAAGAAGCAGAAGCGACTTGTTGTGTGGCTATGACCTCCTTACCGTTTGGTCATGGCTCACTATGACTACTTACTTGAGAGTCTGGTTGGGCCTTTGCCTGAAGCTTAAGCCTCCCGGCGTCAGGTACATGGCTCCAGAGCTGTTCGACTCTCGGGGCAAGATCACAGAGAAGGCCATGCCGGTTTAGTGAGGCAAAATCAGAATTTCTGAAGCAAGACCTATTATGATTGGATTCGATGTTCAGTTGTTCGATAGCTCTGACTGTCCGAATTTCTTGTCTGACATGTCAGACTGCTTTGCTTCATTTGGGATGTCCTGAGCTGAAAGCTGCAGCGGAGGTGGACATTTGGGCACTCGGGTGCTTGATCGTTGAGGTCATCTCCAGCCGATTGCCCCACGAGGACGGCTTTCAAAGCAAAGAGAGGTGAAGCCGAGTCTCAAAGCATCTCTCAGCTCTAACTGCGAAATCTGCTGCGGACTTGTCGTTGCAGGAATGTACGTCCATCCAACAGGTGATGACGCGGCTTGGCTCTAAAACCATGAGCCCTGATCTTGCTTTTCACTTTTAATCCCATCCCACCCGTTCAAAGACCGGGGGCGGCTCGGGCCTTTGCTGGCACAGGAGCTTTGAGTCCTTTGTATCCTTGACGGACCGAGGAAGACTCTGGTTCAGAAGCAGCTCCCCTTCACAGACTGGCAGGGCACTCTGAAAGGGAGCTGTCAATGCATGCAGAGTTCTTCAGCCAGTTGCCTCGTCATGGAAGTGCTTGGAGCACTCTGGCACGACTGAGATGACGAAATCCAAGTCCCTTTGTGATGAATGCTGCTCAGGCGCGGCGTGAGTCCTGCTCTCAGTTCTTGAAAGCTTCGTCGTGAGGCATCCCGGACTCCCAGACAATTCTATGGATTCTGCGGCCGGAAACAATGGCATGCAGTGTGCAAGGGCTCCCAAACTGACCTCTTTGTGCAGCTCCCAAGGTTTGGACATTCAGCGACTTGCTGAGCTTTGCTTTGTCTTTCCCCCGGACGGACGCACCAATGCGCGACATCTTCTGGAGGCCGTGAGGGAACGGAGCATCGTGCCTCTTTGTGTCATCATCTGTTATCTTCAAAGATTAAGCGGGGCATTCTACACGACATGACGAAGTCAACACACGTCTCTCGAGAGTTCTGCCAAACATGCCAGGGTCTGAATAGATTGACGCGAAACTGATTGCGGTAGGTATTTGCCAGAAACAGCTGCAGCGGACCAAAATCACTGGGACCGGGCCACTATTTACTGACAACCATACAGCCCATCAGAGAAACTACGACGATTCTACTTTGTATTGAAACGAAGTGGAATGTTGTTTAGATATCTCGGATCTCACGAAACTGGGATGCACTACCGCCCCAGCTTCGCAACATGTAGATAATGTAATCAGAAGAATATGTACAGCTAATTCTACGCAGCCACGGGCCAGCCGGGGTGGGGGGTCGAAACTGTGGGCAAAAAGCGCATGTCACCAGACTTTTGGGCTGCAGGGAGGAAGATTAAACAGAGGGGCCGGGGGCCTGTGAGGCGAGTGCAATCTTGTGAGCTCCGCAAGAGAACAAAGGGAGAAAGATAGAGAAAAGAAGAGAAAAAGCACAGAAGAGGCAGGGGAGCAGGGGCGCCAGAAAGGGAAACGGAGGAATGAATGGATGAAGATGGGAAGGAACGAATGCCACGGGTACTAAACCTAAACAAAGATTTGGGGGGGGGCGGGGGATTTGGGCTGCAGAGAGGAGGATTAGAAGAGGCAGTATTGCACACGGCGGGGGCGGGCGGGGGCCGGGTGGGGGGGTGGGGGTGCGGGCAGACAAAACGAAGCAGCTTTCAAACTGTTTGAAAGACCAAAATTGGGGGAAGGAAAGGAAAGGACAGGTGAAAAAGGAGCCAGCCGGGGCGGGGGGTCGAAAATGTGGCCAAAAAACGCATGTCAGAAAACTTTTTGTGGCCTCGGCGGATAAGAGTGTTTATGTTCATATAAGCATATGAACTTTAAACTATTGCATGAACGAAGCGGTATGCAGCCTGTGGTCCGGCTTGATAGCAAACCTCGCACTGGTTTGCACTGGATTTGGGTAGTTGACGGCAGAACGGTTTGTAGCCTGCTAGGCAAGCCTGGACTCTAGAGTTGCACGAGGCCGAATTACTTATACAGTAGTTTTAGATTTGTTTCTCAAGTTACTCGCGATGAATAAACCAAGAATTCAGGTCCAAAGCGAGGACTAGAAGGCGCATACTATAGAAGCGTACATCTATAAATCTAGAGCAGAAAAAGAGCACAAGACTGCGAAAAGTTTGGAACTGCATGTAGGCACAAATTACACCATTAGAATGCAAAAAGCACCAGAGAGTATAGTTTAGAGGGGTATCTTGTAAAATCGGAGCAGGAGAAAGAGCCCATAAAAACAAAGGTTCGGGTTATTTCGATTTATTTTCATCTTTAATGGAAGTTTGGTTGACTCGACCCCGGCTTTCGCCCTTAAGTCTTCGGTTTCCAAAGGTTTAAGTACTCTCAGAAGTCGAGTCGAAATGAGAAGATGATTTAGGAAATTAGAGAACGAAGATATAGTTAAAATAATGCATGAGAATATTATATTTAATTTTCTAAAGATTTAATCGAATATTAAATATAAAGATATTGCGATTTGGATTAGATTGGTTTTTTATTGTTATTCTTTTCTCGAAGAAATTGAATTGACGAAAGTTGCGAACGAATTTTCGTAATTTGATTTTTTAATTGTTTTTTCGAGAAAATTATTTGAAATTTAAACAATAAATTTAGATAATGAAATTTCTTGATGAATTAGATATATTTTTCAAAATCAATTTTTAAAATCTTCGATTAATTTTAATTATATTTCGAGAAATTATTAGATTATTTAATTAACAGATTTGATTATAATATATATTTGAATATTATAAGATTAGCGTGATGATTTATTTCATATTATAATTATTATAATTATAAGAAAAAGATTCGAAAAAATTAAATACATTCGATCTTATTTCAGAATATTTAATTCAATATTATTAATTATATAAATAAGTATATATATATATATATTGAATCAAGAAATAATGAAAAATTGGTAAATATAAAATTTGGAAAAAATCGTAGAAATTTTTAATTCAAGAAAATATGAAAATTAAAATATATAATTTAATATACGAATCTGATTGATTGAGATCTAATATTTGGAAATAAAAAATGATTCTTATGAAGTTCTTGG